TGGTATTTATTTCCGAAAACACTATGCCAGTCTACAAGAAGCGTCGCCTAAATGTAATAATTAGCACGTTGAAATAGGCTAGTAAATAATTTTAACTGGGTTCGTAAATATTGGCCTCAAAATATTGTGGCTGAGTCATGGGCCGATTAAACATAGAAATAGGAAACCTAGAAATATAGTAAAAACGCTGAATAGTAATACTCCAGCGTCGCGACATGCGGACGTTGGTACGAGTAGGTTAGTCTACAAACGTCGCCTAAAGTAATTGATTTTACCCGGCAGAACGAAAGAAGGAAACACAGCTTTTCAGTTGTCTTGGGCCCTCGTTTTTTGACAAACAATGACCTTTCAGAGGTCAAATTGCTGTCAAGAATATGAATTGGCTGCTTCGCATCAATTATATTATCCACCAGTGTAATTTAAAAAAAATATAAACCTAACATTCAGGTTTATACATTAACGTTTGGTTTTAAAAGAGAACTAGCAAAATGATTTTTTGTTCTAGAGAGGATTTTTCGTAACAAAAAATCATATTGCTAGTTCTCTTTTAACTCATGTGGCGACTGATTGATGCTCGGCCCTCTGAAATTATGTTACAGTACATTTATCGCGTCACTGCGACATTATGAGAACTGCGTTATAAGTAACCCTTTTTTGCCACGAAATTTTAATATTTATAAAAATGAATAACGCAGCAAAATAACATTAGGCCTACATTACATTACCTATTTATTTTATTTTTGTTGGAAATATGCAACTTGATAAGGGCAATCTGCAGTTGAGGTGGATTCACAAAAAATTTTCGTACTACAGCAGAGGATTTTAGTGTCATAACAAAGATAGAATACCTAAATCACAAAAGTACACTACCGACACCAGATACACTAAAGTGAGTTAAATATATACGGTATAGTTTCCACGGGTTAAAGCCGGCCATGTTAAAGAGAGTGGTGGTGTACACCAATATCCTCCACCTAAATTATTATACATAATTACTTTTTTCTTTGAAATTAGGCCGACAATGTGGTCTTTAATCTGAGAGCTCAACGCTTGGACATTGGCCAATGGGATTTCAGAGACTGGAAGCAATGATTACATTTTACAATGCAAAGATTAATAATTAATAACAAAATCATTAAAAACAAGCTAACCTATGATTACTTTAAAATCGCAGGTAGCACTGTTTCCTGCAATATCAATTGCTACGCACGAAACTAGTGTGGTATCATCGAACAGACTTCCAGGCAAATGGTTACACGTTATATTAATAGTGCCTTCTTTATCTGTTCCAGTCATGTTAAAATTGACATGTCTAGGGCTACCATATGCGACATCTTCTGGACAAACAATGGTTGGTGCTTCAGAATCTGTAAAAGCAAAGAATATCATTATGCTACATTATTATGTTTGAATTAATATTAAAATGTGGAGTAAATTTAATGTAACCATATTATCATCACTTACCTCATCATCATCATCATAGTCATCATCATCATCTTCAGTATTGTTATTAGTATTATCATCATTATCATTATCGTCATAATCATTCATAATTTTCAGTACGTAACATCACACTGCTGGACACAAAGGCTTCTCCCAGTATCCAGCATCCGTCTCTGTCTTTTGTCATTATTTTTCATGCTGTCGTCCCTGTTTTCTTTACTACCTCCACTCTCCATTTTCTGTGTATCTTCCCTTATCCTTTTCCCATATAGTGGCTGTTATTCTGTTGTTTAATTGGCTCCATCTGTCATCCTTCTTGTTGCAAGATGTCCAGTCCATTTACTTCGCTTTAGCCGTGACGGCTAACTACATTATTCACTTTGTCGGTTAGGCCAACGGTACCTCATTCATTATTCGTTTTCTGTCCTTTCTGTAATCTGTAAATGTTCTTTCTGAATTCTTTGTGTGGTTTGGAGTTTTCCTTTCCATTTCTTAGATCAGTGTCCAGATTCCACCTTGGTGGTAGTCTGCATGGATTCGAGAGTCCCCTTTTCAGGCACATCGGGGTTGTTAGTTCCTTTTTGATTCTTTGTGTCTGCTTTTGTCGCTCTGTAAATTTCTTTTCCATCTGGCCATATCGTTTGGCCTGAGTAGGCCTTTATTTGATTACTTTCTTTATTTCTTTATTGTTGACTTTAAATCCTTTATAAATTGCAAAGTTATTGTACATCCCCCTAGTTTTGACATATTGAACCAAGCCTTCCTGCTTTCTCTGTTTATTTCACAAGAACTGTTACTTACCTATGGTTATTTTAAAGTCGCAGGTAGCATTATTTCCAGTAATATCAGTTGCTAAGCATGAAACTAGTGTGGTATTAAAAAACAAACTTCCTGACAAATGGTCACACGTGATAAAAACAGGGCCCTCTTTATCTGTACCAGTGACGTTGAAATGAACATATCTTGGTGTACCATATATGTAGTATTCTGGGCAGAAAATATTTGGTGCCTCAGAAGCTGCGAAATTAAATATATGTTTTAATGAAATACATATGTTTCAAATACGTGTCATAGTAACATGTTATTGAAATGTATTTGCATTAATTGTAAATTTTAGACCCTTGTTATTCAATGGGTGAATTCCATATCACTATACATTGGGTAGGCAGATACACGATTTAATGACAATCAATGCAAGTGGTGCTTATAATTCTTTGAGTAATTTAGTTCCAGTTCCACTGAACTTTGGAGAGGCTCATGAGATGATGCACAATTTTATTCTTCCTTATCGGAGGACGAAATGTAGAAGGAAAGGCGATAATATACGTACAGACATTAACAGCGAATGAACAACTAGCTGTGTTATTAGCATAGTCCCTTGCAGTACACGCAACGGTCGTATAACCAATAGGAAATGTTGATCCAGAAATAGGAAAGCAATCAACAGTCGGTTTGGATAAGTTGTCAACTGCTATTGGCTGGCTGTAGTTCACCAACGGAATTATTGATGTTATCTGGTCTGTAGTACAATTTATGACTGGATCCGTTATATCTATGTTTTAAATGTATACTCAACTTGATTAAATGACGTTCAAAAAGCGTATAGTTTGCAATTTTGAATTGATGTATAAATGTAGACATTAGTTTTTTCTATTTATAAGATATTAATATTGTGCCTTTTTTGTGATATAATTAAAACAAAAACACGACTAACCTATGAATACTTTAAAATCGCAGGTGACTCTATTACCAGTAATATCAATTGCCACGCATGAAACTAGTGTGGAGCCAACATTGAAGAAACTCCCTGACAAGTGGTCGCACGTGATATAAACAGCGCCCTCTTTATCTGTCGCAGTGACGTCGAAATGAACATAGCTTGGTGTATCATATACGTGGTCTTCTGGGCAGACAATGTCTGGCGCTTCAGAAGCTGCGACATTAAAGGAATATTTATAATAAGATAGATCATGTGTGAGTTAAATAACCCATAAAAGAATTTAAAAATCTAAAATCTAACGAACAATCGAAAGTGGAAAAATACATACAGACCTGATCAAAAGGAATTACTACGAACAGTATGGGCGCCAATATCCTGATAATGTAGCCTACGATACTGAATTTTAGAAAGTTTAAAAAACTACCGAAAATAAATAGACTGGCGTGGAATTCCATTCCTCATTGTATCGGAGTACAGAATGTAGAAATCGACGTCTTCGGATTAGTAAATTTACGAATTAGTAATTAAAATTTCTGTTTAAATTAGTTATGGATGAATGATGACTATATACATACAGACATTTACAACAAAATAACAGTTAGCTGTATTGTTGACATGATCCCTTGCAATACACTCAACGGTCGTGTAACCAATGGGAAACGTCGATCCGGAAACCGGAAAGCAATCGACAATCGGTTTAGATAAGTCGTCTACTGCTATTGGCTGGCTGTAGTTCACCAATGGAATGATTGATGTTATCTGGTCTGTAGTACAGTTTATCACTGGATCCGTTATATCTATGTTTTAAATGTAAACACAACTTTATTAAATAACGTTTTCTATCTTTCAAGAGTATAGTTTTTGCAATTTTGAAATTGATGACTTATTTAAATTGAGACATTAGTTAATATTTATAAAATATTAACATTGTGTATTTTGCAATGGTGTTAAATCTTATAAAATATTAGCATTGTGTATTTTGTAATGGTGTTAAATCTTAAAAACAATACTTCTCATTATAAAGTCAAAGTGATTAGCATCAATTACAGTTTGGTACGGGGTCATTTCCCAGAATAAGGTTTGTTTTTTTTTAATTCATAAAATAACACTGTGCATTTGGTAAAATAATGGTGTTAAATATAATTGACGATGGATGGCATTTCCTAATCTAAAGTTAAAGTGATTAGCGACAATTACAGTCTGGTACTGGAGTCGTTCCAGAATAAGCATTGCGATGGAAATGCGATGAAAAAACAAAACACGACTAACCTATGATTACTTTAAAAACGCAGGTAACTCTATTACCAGTAATATCAATTGCCACGCATGAAACTAGTGTGGAGCCAACATTGAAGAAACTCCCTGACAAGTGGTCGCACGTGATATAAACAGCGCCCTCTTTATCTGTCGCAGTGACGTCGAAATGAACATAGCTTGGTGTATCATATACGTGGTCTTCTGGGCAGACAATGTCTGGCGCTTCAGAAGCTGCGACATTAAAGGAATATTTATAATAAGATAGATCATGTGTGAGTTAAATAACCCATAAACGAATTTAAAAATCTAAAATCTAACGAACAATCGAAAGTGGAAAAATACATACAGACCTGATCAAAAGGAATTACTACGAACAGTATGGGCGCCAATATCCTGATAATGTAGCCTACGATACTGAATTTTAGAGAGTGTGAAAAACTACCAAAAATAAATAGACTGGCGTGGAATTCCATTCCTCATTGTATCGGAGGACAGAATGTAGAAATCGACGTCTTCGGATTAGTAACTTTACGAATTAGTAATTAAAATTTCTGTTTAAATTAGTTATGGATGAATGATGACTATATACATACAGACATTTACAACAAAATAACAGTTAGCTGTATTGTTGACATGATCCCTTGCAATACACTCAACGGTCGTGTAACCAATGGGAAACGTTGATCCGGAAACCGGAAAGCAATCGACAATCGGTTTAGATAAGTCGTCTACTGCTATTGGCTGGCTGTAGTTCACCAATGGAATGATTGATGTTATCTGGTCTGTAGTACAGTTTATCACTGGATCCGTTATATCTATGTTTTAAATGTAAACACAACTTTATTAAATAACGTTTTCTATCTTTCAAGAGTATAGTTTTGCAATTTTGAAATTGATGACTTATTTAAATTGAGACATTAGTTAATATTTATAAAATATTAACATTGTGTATTTTGTAATGGTGTTAAATCTTATAAAATATTAGCATTGTGTATTTTGTAATGGTGTTAAATCTTAAAAACAATACTTCTCATTATAAAGTCAAAGTGATTAGCGTCAATTACAGTTTGGTACGGGGTCATTTTCCAGAATAAGGTTTGTTTTTTTTATTCATAAAATAACACTGTGCATTTGGTAAAATAATGGTGTTAGATATAATTGACGATGGATGGCATTTCCTCCTCTAAAGTTAAAGTGATTAGCGACAATTACAGTCTGGTACTGGAGTCGTTCCAGATTAAGCATTGCGATGGAAATGCGATGAAAAAAACAAAACACGACTAACCTATGATTACTTTAAAAACGCAGGTAACTCTATTACCAGTAATATCAATTGCTACGCATGAAACTAGTGTAGAACCATCATTGAAGAAACTCCCTGACAAGTGGTCGCACGTGATATAAACAGCGCCCTCTTTATCTGTCGCAGTGACGTCGAAATGAACATAGCTTGGTGTATCATATACGTGGTCTTCTGGGCAGACAATGTCTGGCACTTCAGAAGCTGCGACATTACAGGAATATTTATTACAATAAGCTTGATAATGTGTGAGCTAAATAACCCATAAAAATCATTTAAAATCTAAAATCTAACGAACAAACGAAAGTAGAATAACACATTTTATGAAAATAGAGAATTTAAAATCTGCCGAAAATATATAAGACTGGTGCACAATCCATTCCTCATTCAACCGGAGGAAAGAATGTAGAAGTAAAATCGACGTTTTCCAATTAGTAATTTACGAATCGGCAATTAGTATGTCATAAAATAGTTATGGATGAGTGATGACTTCATACATACAGATATTAACAACAAAAGAACAGGTAGCTGTGTTATTGACATGATCCCTTGCAGTACACGTAACGGTCGTGTTACCAATTGGAAACCTTGATCCAGAAAAAGGAAAGCAATCAACATTCGGTTCGGATAAGTCGTCAACTGCTATTGGCTGGCTGAAGTTAACCAATGGAATGAATGATGTGATCTGGTCGATAGTACAGTTTATTATTGGGGCCTTCATATCTATGATTTATAAACATACAGTAAACGTTTAATAATTGATAACAATTTCTTTAATTTAAAGGCGTGAGTTTGATAGTGATGATTAAAGTAATATATAATCTATAAAATTTACCATCCAGCATATTCTATTAACATTAATTTTTGTTATTACTGTAAATCGTTTGAATGGATTGCCACTCTTTACATACAGTTAGAAGGCTTAGCGTCATTCACAGTCAGATGCTGTTAGTCACGGAGTAAGTTTTACAATTAATGAGAAATAATATTTTTTATATATTATATAAAAAGACTAACCTATGATTACTGTAAAATTGCAGGTAGAGCTATTTCCGGTAGTATCATTTGCAAAACATGAAACTAGTGTTGTATCATTGAACGAACTTCCAGACAAGTGATCACAAGTGATATAAACAGCGCCATCATTATCTGTCGCAGTCACGTTGAAATGAACATGTTCTGGCTTACCATATATGAAATCTTCTGGGCAGACAATGGTTGGTGCTTCGGAAGCTTAATCAAATGAATGTTCATGATAAGCTAGAGACCATTTTTAATCATGTGTGTAATAGCATACTAGTGAAAAAGTAGCGGCGTTAATGTGTAGGCCAAGGTATTTCAAAATGACACCAATAATTTATTTGACAATACTTAAGGCCCCATAAAAAAAATTATTAGTTTATCCCCCTATCAAAGAATAAAAACTGATGAGGAAGCGAGGGAGGTTTTTTTTTGTTTTTTTTTTTTTTTTTTTTTTGCTAATCCCGCCCCCATTTTACCGATGAGCACAAGTAAATAAATGGTTAGAGACACATATATAAAAAGTCATAAAAATGGAATCAAACTTATATTTAAAAAATAAGTTTTTGTTCTACCAGTAAGCATATTTGCAAGAAACCCTGAGCTTTTCAAGTGAAAAAAGGACCGTTTGAAATGAAATCAGATTTTCCCCAAAAGTGATGAGGGAGCGGGTGATAAACTAATATTTTTTTTTATGTGGCCTAATTACTATTAAAACAAACTCACCATTTCGATTAACTGCTTTCACAGTTGCAAGAAAGCCTCTTTCGGTTACACTTCCATCCGTGGTCAATAATACCGACATTTTGCTACTCTCAGACAATATAGAGTGGACATTTTCTCCAGTAAAAGAGAATTGATTTAATGAACTGTTTCCTGAACTTATGAACACAAAATCAAATCCAAACTCCAGGTGAAAGTCATTAAACTCGAGCAGAATCAAAAGATCATCTGAGGCACGTATATTCCATTGACAGTTTATGTTGTTGTAGTAGTTGTCCGGGTAATGGGGTGAAGTGAACGACTGTGATTCACCAGCATAGCCAAGGCTTATAACAGCTAGAGCTTCACATTCTAACGGAAATAAATCCATGTTTGAAAATATAATATTAATCATTGTTAATATCCTTTATTATTAATATTATTATTATTATTATTATTATTATTATTATTATTATTATTATTATTATTATTATTATTATTATTATTATTATTATTATTATTATTATTATTATTATTATTATCATCATCATCTAAGCCAGGAGATATGTTTTCAGTCGTGTAAGTTTGTGTGTGTGTAATATTTTCGTGTTTTGTGTGTTTATTTTTATGCAAATTATCTCAAAAACCGCTGCACAGACATAATTGAAAATAGAAGGGAGTGTTAGGTATAAACCAATGAAAAAATGATTAAATTTTGGTGACGGTCCGGAGTAAGGTGTGGATGTGAGGACCAATTAAATGATTTTAGAACAAATAAAATATTTCAAAAACTCATCAACTGATATGCATGAAAGTTTGGTGAAAGTTAACCAAGTTACAAGGAAGACATGATTAAGTGTATGGGACGATCTAAATTCGGGAGTGAATTTGAGGGTCTTTTAAAATCCTAAGGTCTCAGACCTAAATATCTGTAAGAATAATTAATGGATCTAAATGTCTTTTTCCACAATAGTTTGTCATATTTCGATGAAAAATTGTTTCAATTTTGGTGACCATCAGGAGTAGGGTTTGGATATAATAACAACCAAATCCCCATATTTCTATTCGCATAATATTTCCATTTCAACACCAAAACATGGCATGTATTTTTTGTCAGCAATAAGAGTAAAACGTGCCAGTGTGTTAAGCCGGAAGATGTAAGGAATTGGCAGGTGTGCAAGTGATACAATATTTCGAAAATGAAGTTTACATGTTTTGGTGTCGATAATTTGGACCATTCAAAGCAAAATGTCGCAGACCCGATATCTCAAAAACTAATCAACTCTTTCGTGTTAATGTAATTTTTTAGAAGTAGATTTTAGTTGGTGGTTGGAAAGTAGGAACATATTTTTGAAAAATTAGGCCTAGTTATAGAAAGAGATAATACTTTCAAAGGCGTTTCTGTTTAGCTGGTTAGTGTATATTTTTTAAGTATTTGGTGGCTTAAAAATAAGTGGGTTGTCACATTTGTTAGCTCCGATAAGGAACTCTAGGAGTAACCTGTTGATTGATTGATTAAGTAATGGATTTTTTTTTTTGTGAAGTGCGCCACAAATAGCTGGACTGTTCCTGCCATTACTTCTAACATAGGACACGTCGTGATGGTGCGGTGATTGAATTTTTTTAATGTTCATTTTTTCCTGTGTTAGCATAAATAGCCGTTGTCTTTTGTTTTATTTTTCAAAATTTTTATTCTTGTATCCCGCTTTCTATCTTTTTGCACAAGGGTTTTCTGACCGGTACCTTAGGGACTTTCCCTATTCTTCAAACATCATTTTGTAAGGAATTGGCAGGTATACAACAAATACAATAACAGGCCTAGGCCTTTCCAGTTAGTGTATATATTTTTAGGTAGGTGGTGGTTGGAAAGTAAGCGGATTCCCACATTGTTTTACTGTTTCAGTAGTAATAAAATGTTTTAATATTATATATATCTTGGATGTGTAGGCCGACAGTGAATTTTGGTGAAATCATTTTCGGATTACAAAATATAATAATGGCAACTCTAGATACTAAAAGTGAAAATAGTGCCCCTCTTTAAAAAAAAATTGTTAGGGAGAGTTACTGTGCGATTTTGAAGATGAGGGGAAGATGAGCAATCTTACACGTTTGTCCATCTACTGCATCTTTTCAAGAGTATGCCATCCCAGCTATAAGGGCGATTCAGCCTCTT